TAACCGCGGCTTGTGTACTGCATCATCACTGTGTCTGTCACGCGACTCTGTTGCCCTTTCGGGCTTGAACTGATGGTCTTGATATTTACTTTGAAAGCTGACGCTGCGAGTATGGTAAGGGCCGTTACATTTCCGACGAGTGCATGCGGTGTTCGGCCAATCACAATGCACTGGGTCAGCTGGCCAATCAGAGCAGACTGCGCTTGTCAAAGGAGGAGGCTTTGTTGAAAACTATGTGTTTGAGAGAGGCGGGGCATACAGGACCTACAATAATGTACAGTATTTGAAAAATAATGTGTTTTTTGAACATTAAAGCATGTCAACATATTCTGTTACACCAAATACACAAAATAATGATCTTTAAAATAGCATCATATGACCCCTTTAAAATAACTTTAATATTTTTAGATGACAACATAAAAATGTCAGGGTGATGCAACTGTCATGATATTATGATGAGGAAAAATTTTATATTAAATATATATTAAATAAATGAAATAATACATATTTTGGCATATTTTTTCTATTATTTCAAAGAAAAAGTTTTGTTTAACAGAACTGCTTCACTGCCTATTAACATTTGAAAAACGTAGAAATCATGCAAAAACATGCAGGAGACTAAAATATCATAAAGCAGGAAATTATATAAGGGCCTATGCAGATCCTCTTTACTGTGTGTAAGGGAGGTGAGCAAGGTTATTTAATTAATACTTAAAAAGTATATGTATATATATATATTAGAGCCCGACCGATATATCGATATGAGTCTGTCGCCGATATATCGGTATCGGCGAATATGCCGCCGATATGAACTTTTTTTTTTTACAGAACATATAATGCAGATAAAATGCTTGATTTAGCCGATATTATCGGCCGATATGAGCCTGTCGCCGATATATCGGTATCAGCGAATATGCCGCCGATATGAATATATATATATTTTTTACAGAACATACAACGCAGATTAAATGCTACTGAATGGTATAATTACTTAGTTTGTCCAGCAGAGCGCGCTACTTCAAATAAATTATCCACCTGCCACCCACCCGCACCTATGTTTGATCGTCACATTACAATGATTCTAATTCTTAGTTTTGCATGATGATATGATGAATGGATGGCTCATTTTTAACAGCAGATTCAGTGACGTTAGAGACTAGAGCTGATCTGAGCATCACGGCACGCGTCTGCGGCGCATTAAAGCCTGTGTTGCGGCCACCAGAGCTGATCGCGGCCACTCAGTCAATGCATGGTGTTTATACCGGCCGCGCCGCGGCCCATAACTCATGCTTATCACGTTGGTCACATCACATCGCGCGGCGCGACAAAATACAATAGAAGTCTATTGTATTTTGCCGCGCCGCTCGTAGAATATAACCCATTGTAATCAGTGATGTTGTCACTGGATGCGGTAAACTGATGCCTCGTTCTATTTATGACGTGCTGACACAAAGTTCAAATGATTTTCAACTGTCGCTTTGTCGCGTCCTGTTGCGGCGCAGACACGGTGTCAGCATAGTTCGTCAGTACAGTCAGTAACGTAGCAGATTGAAAAGTTAGTATCTTTCTGCAGTCCAATAGACGGCAGTGCGGTGGTGGCTTGAGTCTGTTGAATGGTGA